CACCACTGTGCTTGGCTGAGTTCACAAATCTGTTGTAACCTGTAGCTTCCCTGTCACTTCTCTGGCTCTCCTCTCCTGCTAAGCTTTGTTTCTTGAGAATAATTAAAACCTTCTGCCACTGCCAGAGCTACTGCTGCTACTGGAACCACCATAGCCACCTTGGTTTCGTGGTTTGGCAAAGTGTTGGCCTCCACCACCATAGGGGCCAGAGCTTCTGCCTCCAAAATTTCCTCCCTTCATGGGTCCAAAATTTGAAGACTGATGGTTGTAATTGCCAAAATCATTGTAGCTTCCACCACCTCCAAAATTGCTTCCATCATTCCCAAATTCATTGTACCCATCCCCACTGCCACCATATCCACCACCACCATGGCTGCCACCAAAGCCACGTCGACCACTGAAGTTTCCTCCACGGCCAAAGTTCTGACGGCTCTTTTAAAGAAAAGTGACTTTTATTGTTTATTATCACCATATAATTTTGACTTTTTTATAATCTCATATGCATAATTTTTTCTAATCTCATGACTGATTTATAATATTCTATGGACCTAAAATCTTTTTCTGTCAGAAACTGTAGTGAGAAGATATGTACATTCTGCCAAGCACATAGGCTAAAATTTGAAGGATGAAGATTAGTATAGCCTCTTTACAGGAGTGCCATGCAAGTTTGTACAGTACATGGATAAACATTTTTAAAAAGTGAATAATTTAAAGGCTGAATGAATTCGGATCAGTTGGACATTATGAGGTTGAACTCCCAAGTTATTAGTTTGGTGACCATTATTACAGGATCATTAGTTCCTGTTGTTTAAAACTCATGTGAAGCTAAAGAAAAATAGACCTATATTACAAAATGAAGAAGCTGCCAGCTTAAAGTTGATATTTTTGAAGATTCTAGAACAAATGGTTTTATGACCAACCATAAGCAAATCTTTTCATTTTATTTTTTATTTTTATTTTTATTTTTTTGTGGAGACAGGATCTTGTTTTCACCCAGGCTGGAGTGAAATGGCACAATCATAGCTCACTACAGCCTAGAACTCCTTGCCTCATGTGATCTTCCTACCTCAGCCTCCCAAGTAGCTAGGACAGCAGGTGCATGCCACCATACTTGGCTAAGTTGTTTGTTGTTGTTGTCTTTTTTTGTGTATGTGGAGATGGACTCTCACTGTGTTGCCCAGGCTGGTCTTGAACTCCTGACCTCAGGTGTTCCTCCTGCCTTGGCCTCCCAGAGTGCTGGGATTACAGGTGTGAGGCACGTATGCCCAGCCACAATAAGCAAATCGTAGGTATCTGTCTAATGAAGAATTTGGTTTGGTTTAAAAAATATTATGAATGCCTTCAGAAAATCAAGATTTAACAGATTTGTCTGATTTAATTTAGGTGTTGACTAGCTATAAGCAGGGAATTCTGGACTTTTTTTTAATTATCATTGAACACCCAATTTCACCAGTAGAGAAAGGGATCCTAAGATTTCTGAACTTTTTCCCAGCAAAACTCAGCCACTTATGGCCAGATCCCAGGGAGAAAATATCTAATTCTAAGCCTTGAGTTCTTCTCAACAGACCATGGCAAGATTTAATGTATTATTTAACTGGTCACTTTTGAGAAGCTTCTGATAGACTTTATTTAGTTTTCATCCATACCAGTGGCATTTAAAATACTGTACTTTAAGGAATGTAATTGCTGGAGGCTTGGAAACTTGAGTACAATTTCCTTAGTATGACCCCCAGAGACGACAGAACAAAACGATAGGAAAGACTCTAAAATTTTTATCCAATTATATGTTTTCTACATTGCTCATTACTAGTTTTACATGGTTAACATGTACTTTTAAAATTTGACAGTGTTTGATGTATAGAACAGACCAAGCTCAAGATGTAAAGAAGATTGAGAAATTCCACAGTCAACTAATGCGACTTATGGTAGCCAAGGAATCCCGCAGTGTTGCCATGGAAGCAGACTGAATGGTTTGAAATGAAGATTCTGTTTGTCATGTTGTTAGGAAGTAAATATCTTTTGAATTTGAGAAAATGTTGGAACAGAAAATACTTTATGTAACTAAGTGGAGTATTCAAAAGCCAAGACATCATTTTTTGTATTTTCTTTTTAATGTTTACTTTAGAGAGCTACGAATGTAAATGGTTTCAATTAGAAAACCTTTATTTATTTTTGGAAATTGAACAAGAATTACATCTATCTTGGAAACTTTTTGTGGATTGTTTGATGTTGGGTAAAATATATAATTCTCTGATGAATTTTGTATCAGTAATTTGAAAATGAGATATCAAGAAAAGTCAGTTCTTCCATCAATGTAGTTGATCTGTCTTTAAAAGAAAATGAAATGTAACCATTTCGATAGCTCAATATATTTCTTTTGGAGCATAAAATTTGTGCTGTTGATGACCAATAAATATAAAATATGGTAACTGGAATTAACTATCCACCATAGTATTCCTGATTATATACAGTAGTGTAGTCTTACTATATCTAAAAAAGTAATAATGAATAACAAGTATGCTTTACCTTAACCTTTCTAGATTTAAGCTATAATTTCTAGTGTAAGGGATTTGTGGTATCCTCACCTTGTTGAGCAATGACTAGCTTTGCAAAATCTGGTATTCAGTGATCAGAAACAACAGCAGTTACTTGAATGCATGAATGGAATGATAATCACTGTAATGGACTGAAACCACCATATTACAGAAATATTTACTACGTATTTTTCAGCTATAGTTTCTCAGAAGGGCTAAGGATTATTCAAACCGTTAAATATTTGCATACCTCTGACACCCCTGCCCATTTTCTCTCTTTACTTAACCAAGGTGTTATGCATGACTGTCACAACTGTTACATTTTCCAGTAAACCATAAATGTGATATTATTTGATATTTATCTTATATTTGTAAGCTGAATTTTACCACCTAAATGTAACGTTCACATTCTGATTCCTCAAGAATGAAATGAAGGCACTACCTTAAAATACCTTTTGAAGAAATTTGTCATGTTCAGCAACGTGTTAGTATAGGAAGTTCTATTAACCATATGAGTTTTGGGATGTTTCAGAGAAGTCGGTAAATAAAATATTACACAAATGTATATTGTTTGTTGACCTTTTTAACTTCTCAAGAGTTACTGATTTCTTGACTGAGGTACACTATATTCATTTAGTCTAAAGTGAGCCTAGTGATATTGAAAGTAAGTTTTTTTTGGTTTGCTCTTTTTGTTTCTTAGTACTTTTTATCATGTGACTTTTTCCGAGCTGTATGTCGATGGCACGGTTGTTTCCTTGAATTAGGAAAGTAACATGCAGTGTAGGGTTATTTTGGCTTGGGATTTTTTTCCCCCTAGAATTAATGGGATCACGATAGTTGTGGGGGAGGTTTGGCCTTTTTTTTCCCATTGAGATCTACTTTTTAACACCGTGGAGATGACCTGGAAGGGAAGGACTGGTGTTTGGGTTCTTTGAGTTCTTGTAGCCTGTAGCAGAGTGGTTAAGAGCAGAGATTCCAAGTCAGACTGCCCGGGTTGTAATCTTGGCTCCACTGTTTCCCAACTCTGTGGTCTTAGACAAGATACTTCTTTCAGCCTTCATTTTCATCTCTGGAAATGAGGCTAACAATATTACCTTCCTTGTAGGACTACTAGGATTAAATGGCATGGTCCATTTTAAGCTTTTGGCAAAGTGCTTAGAATATGGTAAAGCTTAATAAATTGTAGTTGTTATCATTGTTTTGATTCTTGTTTTTCAGGGGAGAGGGTATAAGTAACCAGCTCTTATTATGTTTTCTCATAATTTTAAAGGAGTGATTATTTACAGGTAATATCTGCCTTTTCTGCTGAGCTATGCCCTTTATTAAATGTTATTTTTTGTAGTTGGGAAACGAAACAAAATTGCCTCCATGGAGAATGTGCTTTTTGTGCTTATGTGGAGAGAAACTGAAATCCTTAAATTTAAAACTTGTGTTTATGTCTGTACAAAATAAAATCATTAATTAAGAGAACTAATTGATGATAAAAAGTATTGAGCCTCTTAAAGATCATTTATTGCAGTGCTGTATACCCTGAGTATTTTCTTTTATCAGGAAATATTTCTAGGTGCTGTAATCACATGTTG